GGAAAGAGAGAGAGAGGAAGAAAGCATCCCCCAATGAGGGTGGTCATGCTGCCATCCCTTTCCATTTTTCTGTTCTGTCAGGAAATACACACAGAAGCATCCAGCATGTTTTTCAAGTCACCATTAGGGTGGGATTCAATCCACAGTCAGCCATATGAAATCTAGCTCCCTTAACCACTAGACTACAAGGCCAGCCCAAAGGGTCCTTTTTTCTCACATCGAGCACTGTAATTTTTTTTTTGAGAGGTTTTTGCCATAGGGCGTGTGTGCTTGCCAGACAGACAGAGACAGACAAAAAGCGAGAAATTACCCCCCGGCCCCAGGGGGATGGTCACATCGCAATCCCTTCTCCATTCTCCTCTTGGGATCTTGGGCACGCACAGACACGTGCCGGGCTTCACGTGCCGGGCTTGAGTTTTAAGCCACTGGGTCTGGGACTCGAACCGTGGTCAATTACATGGGAGTCCAGCGACATAGCCATTACACTAACTGCTGGTCCCTTTCGAGCACTATAATTTTAACTATACAGTTATATATGTATAGATACACTTTTTTTTTTTTTTAGAGATTTTTTGCTATAGGGCACATAGGCTCACCGGAAGGAGACAGAGAGCTAGAAAGTAAGAAATCACTCCCCCAGGGGGGATAGCCATGCCACAATCACTTCTCTCAGGATATTGGGCATGCACACGTGTCTGGTGTGAATTTAAGCCTCTGGGTCTGGGACTTGAACTGAGGTCCACTACATGGAAGTCCAGCGACAAAACCATTATGCCATCTGCTGGTCCCCTTATGTAAATATTTTTATTTATTTACTTCTTTTTAAGGTTTCTGCCATAGGGTACATGAGCTTGCTGAAGAGACAGAGAAAGTGAGAAAGAAAGTGAGAAATCATCCCCCTAGAGATGCCACGACCCATCTCCTTCATGCTCCTCTTGGGATTTTGGGCACAGATGCATACATTGCAGCAGGATTTTTAAGCCACAGGACTGGTTCTGTGGCGTCAGCTTGTTGGAATCTAGAGCCTTAATCATCACACCACCTGCTAGTTCCTTATTTATTTATTTTAAAACGTTTATTTATTTCTTCCATTACTAAGAAAAGCAGAGAGAGAAAGACAATACGCCCAATAGGGTCTCCATAGCACCACCTACCCCAAGTTTCAGCAGGCCTCAGATTATGGGCGTGTGTGTGATCAGGGAGGCCTCTGAATGTTAACCTGGAACCTCCTACGTAAGTCAGCCTTGCAGGCCTTGCATCACCACTGTGCCACTGTCTGGCACCCTAGTTATATGTCTGCTTCTTCTTTCTTTTCTTTTTTGAAAGGTTTTTGCTATAGGGTGCACTTGCTAAAGACAAAGAGAGAGACAAGAGTGACAGAAAGTGAGAAATCAGAAATCAGGGCTAGCAGGTAGCGTAGTGGCTGCAGTCTGGGCTCCCACAGGGCTGACTTATGTTTCAGTCCCGGACCTAGCAGCTCACACTCTCACTCTGGTCAAATTAAAAAATAATAACAACAAATAAAATTAAGTGGATAAATTTTTTTCTAAAGAATTATTTTATTTAACTTTATTTATTTAAATTTGACTGGGAGGAGAGGGGAAGTGAGAAAGCAAGCCGCCAGGTCTGGGACTTGAACCAGGTTGGCCATGTGGGAGTAGTGCCCTTAACCAACACGCCACCTGACGGCCCCAAGGGATAATTTTTAAAATAAATAAACAAACAAATAAATAGAAAAACAACAATCAGAACCACCCCTCTGCCTCCCCCCGTGAGGATGACCATGCCACAATCTCTTCTCCTCCATTCTCCTCTTGGGATTTTGGGCTCACACATGGACCCAGCGGGTCTGGGATGCAAACCATGGTAAGCCATGTGGGAGTCTATGGCCCCTGCTGGCCATAGACGTCTGTCTCTTTACTTGTGTGTAGTCTGGCTCTATTCCCATGACACTGATGGTCGGTTAGGGTAAGAACGTCCGTTCTGCTCACCACTGAATACCCTGTAATTAGCCCAGCACAAAGGGTGCACTCAAAACACTTCATGACTATAAAACAATAAAGTACCTGGCACTTGCTGCATACTCAAGTCAATGGATGAACAACATAGGGCTGGAATAATGAAAATCTGTGAACTTTGGTGACAAACTCAAAGAGAAGTAAATTATAACTTGTGATCTTTTTTTTTTTTTCCTTCCATTTTTGTCATACAGCATGTGTACTTGCCAGAGACAGAGAAAGAGCTAGAGAGGAAGGGAAAGTGAGAAATCACCCCCCTAGGGGCTATGGCCACACTGCAATCCCTCCTCTTCCATTCTCCTCTTAGGATTTTGCACACGTACACGCACATGCACATGCGCTCACACACATGGCATGTTCTTCAAGCCAGCAGATCTAGGACTTGAACGTGGAGTCAGCCATGTGGGATCCAGTACCTTAATCACACCACCGGCTGGCCCTACTTGTGATATTTTTATTGTATTTTAATTAAAAACATTTTATTTAACTTGATTTGTCTTATTTACTTATTTATGTTAATTTGACAAGAGAGGGGCATGGGGGGCAGGGGGGGGATTGAGAAAGCAAGTCGCTAGGTCTGGGACTCGAATTGTAGTTGACCATGTGGGAGCCCAGCACCCTTAACTACCATGCCACCTGCTGGCCCCTATATATATATGTATGTTAAAAATATTTTATTTAACTTTATCTTATTTATTGTATTTATTTATTTATTTTAATTACTTGTGATTAAAAAAATTTTTTTTAGAATTACTCATTAATTTTGTTCATTTATACATTTATTTTCATTTTACCAGAGAAATATACAGAGAGAGAGAGAGAGAGAGAAAGTAAGCCACCAGGTCCAGGACTTGAACCACGGTTGGTCATGTGGGAGTGTCCAGTGCCCTAACCACCACGCCACCTGCTGGTCCCCTCCCCTACTTGTGATATTCTAATGAACTTCCGGGTGTGGTCTTCTTCCAAGAGCCTCTTGCTCCCTCCAAAGGCTGCCTAAGCTGTGTGACCATCTGGCAGACTAAGAACAGTCACCTTTATCACCCCTGGGTCTTCCCCAACGAGGGATACACAACCTCATAAACCCTAAGTGAAGTAGTCAGACCCATCCTGTGCTATGTTCTTAAACCAAGTGAGGGCCAGGGATGGCTGTGACAGTGAATCTGGGCAATGATTATTGTTTCATTCCTGGCAGATGTGTGTCCAGTTCCAGAACAATCTTATCAAAAACTCATTTGACCCTTTTCTACTGCCTACCTCCCTGTCCTGCCTCCTCACCTGCCTGAGGCTCCCTTCTCCCCAGAAGTATCTCAGCCATTGGCAGAGACCAGGCTCCTATTCTGGAGCAGTCTGCTCTTGCCAAGATTCATGCTAGGGCTGCAAAACACTGTTACTGTGGTTGTATCCAGTCTTTGCCTCTAGCTCTAAGTTACCTAGCTTGGGCCCTGGCAGGTGGCATGGTAGTTAAGGACACTAGACTCCCACATGGCCAACTACGGTTTGAGTCCCAAACCTAGCGGCTTGCTTTCCCTCTCTCTCTCTCTCTCTCTCTTCCTCTCTGGTCAAATTAAAATAAACAAATAAAGTTAAATAATTATTTAAAAAAAAAAAGTTGCCTTGCTGGATCTCTGTCAGTTAACCCTTTAAGGCCTTTCCAATCCTTTTTTTAAGAATTATTTTTAAATTTGGGGCCAGCAGGTGGCGTGGTGGTTAAGGGTGCTGGACTCCCACATGGCCAACAGCGGTTCGAGTCCCAGACCAGACGGCTTTCTTTCTCACTTTCCCTCTCTCTCTCTCTCACTCTGTCTCTCTCTGGTCAAACTAAAAACATAAATAAATAAAGTTAAATAAAATAGTTCTAAAAATAATATATTTAAATGTAATTTTATCCTCATCATTATTTTTTTAAATTGGTTATAGGACATGTGTACTGATCAGAGGGAGAGACAGACAGTGAAAAAATAAGAAAGCAAGCCACCAAGTCCAGGACTCCAACTTTGGTCAGCCACGAAGGAGTCTAGCACCTTAACCACCATGCCATCTGTTGGCCCCAAGACCTCCCAATTTGAGAGCAGAGACTGACTCTTGTTTATGTCTCCCCAGTGAGTGGCTTACTCAATACATACTGTCACAAAAAATTAAGAAGAATGAGAGTGAACAAGTAATACAAATCCACTAACTTCCTTAGTCACCGCCACCCCACCTTTCTGGCAGAATACTTTTCCTCTTACCATGTGAGCCCACGCATACTGTACCACGCTCAGGGAGGCTACTACTTTCATGAGGGCAGTTTTCTGCTGCCACATTATCATTTTTTAAAAAATTTTATTCATGATAGAGAGCACATCTGTGTGTGCACAGGGAGAGAAAGAATATTGAATGCCCTCAACACGGTCTCATCACATTGTGATCTCCTTCCCCCAGCCCACCAGTTTGTCAGAATCTTGGGCACAAGTCTGCCCACCCAGCGTGTTGCAGGTGGACCAGGCTAGGGATCTGAACCTGTGGTTGGCCATGTGTCTTCTAGCACTGCAATCCGTATGCTGCCAATTGTGCCAAGCTGGGCCTCTGCTTCCATATTTCAGTAGGAGAGACATGTGGCCTAACTTGCTTACTCACCTAACGACTCTGAGATCAGGATTACCAAACTGGCTTCACAGATGAGAACGCTAAAGTTCAGAAAGGTGAGGTAACTGACCTGAGGTTCTAAGGGGATTCAAACCCAAGTCTGTCCGAATGCAGAACTTCCACGTCAGGACTAACCTATGCCACCTCCCTCTGCAAAGCTGGCTGGCTCCAAAAGAGTGGGGGAGAGCACTCTGGCCACCTTCTTGTCCTCCCTCCCTACAGGCCAGGGCAATCCTACCCACTACCACCTGACAGGCTGAGTGATCCCAACAGACAACTCCTGCCCAAAGGCCTTCAAAGAGGGGTTAAGGAGCTAATACTCACAGGGCTCCTCCTGTCCAGGTAGGGTGACTTGATGCTTCTTCACACCATCGAACAGTAGCTCCGCACCACCTCTGCAAAGCAGGGACAGAGAAAAAAGATAGTCAGATGAGCTCATGCAAATAGGAGACAGCAGCTGAAACTGAAAACTGAGGGTGTGGCTGGGCACTAGTACATTAGTTATCAGCAGCTGACTCCCAAATACAACTTCTGGATGTGAGAATGATATAAACAATTTTCACTAATAGCCAAGCACCCACATTTGCTGTTTTTTTCTCTTCTGCAGAGAAGCAGCTTAGCATAGGTGCAGAACACAGGCCTTGGAACCATGGGTTCCATGGTGGAGACCAGACTCCACCTCTGCTCTGCATGATAGTTGGCTCCTGGGAATGTGGCTGGATCTTAAACCTGCCTTTCCATCTGCAAAAATGTTAAGAACTGTACAGCACACTGGAGACCCTGTGTACCAGGAGGTTCCCTCTGGCCAGGTGAAGGTTTCAAATGCCTCATCCATGCCATCTGCTACTGACCTGGTGGGCACACCACAGGGATGGAGGTTGAAAGGCCACTGGCTTTAGTATCAACTAAGAAAAATTGCTCGCAGCACCTTGCTCTTTGTAAGATACTCTTCCAGGCATCCCGTAGGAGGAAGAGAGAGAAACATTAACTCCATTTTATGGAGAAGCAGACTGAGGCCTAGAGAGGTTAAGGGACTTGCCCAAGGTCAGGCAGGCAGTGCTAACCTAGAATTTGAATCTAACCAT